CGGGGGGGGGGGCCAGTAGGGCCCAGAGTGTAGAAAATTGTGTCATGGGGGCGTCATTTGAGCTCCCCGCCTCAGGTGCCAAAATGTTGTGGTACCGTGCCTAATGGATAATCTGGCCCTGTCCACACTGCAGCCAAACCCCCTCTCTGCTTTCCAGAGCATGTCTACACTGCAGCACAGCCCCTGCTGGGCTCTCCCCAGATCCGTCTACACTGTAGGCAAACCCCCACTCTGCCCTGCTGGGTCTGTGCACACTGGAACCCCTCCCTGGCACATGCACACTGCAACCAACCCCCCCACAGTGCAGAGTCCTGAAAATCCACTTTATGGCCCTGGGTAGCTGCATCTGCAGATGCAGGTGCAAATATTTCCTGTAGGGAATGTTACATTTAAATGAATCAACTAACCGAATAGTCGATGGGATTTCCATCAACTAGTCCAGTGTTAACCTTTTTTTATAAAGTACCCCATATCTACCATTAGAGAGATGTTGGTGTCATTGTGGATAGTTCTCTAAAAACATCCATTCATTGTGCAGCGGCAGCCAAAAAGGCAAATAGAATGTTAGGAGTCATTAAACAGAGAATATCTTATTGCCGCGATATAAAACCATTGTATGCCAACACACTGAATACTGAGCTGTTTTGGACAGAAGTCTGAGGGGTAGCTGTGTTAGTATTACACGGTGCTTGCCACGAGGCACACAAACAAGCCCCGCTCGCCAGCCACGCTGTCCGGCGCTCTGCACATGCGCAGATCACCCAAACCCGGCTCTTCCGGGTTACAATCTACTCGCCACAGGCAAGTAGACTATTATTTGTCGAGCCCTGTATCTATATATATACGTATCCCCAATACCTACAGTTTTCAGACACATTTTTTTTCTACCATTGCAACACATTTGTTTAAACAACTTAATCATAGCTGGGCAGGTGATGAAATTTTTAGGTGTAAAAAGTACAAAAATAATCAAGCATTGTAAAACTTAAAACAAAAATTCAGTATTCTCCAAATTTCAGTTGTGTTGACGTACCACCCAGATTTCTGTCATGTACCCCAAGGGTACTCGTACCACTGGTTGAGAAACACTGGACTAGTCTATAAGGAGGCCTCCGCCTGTGAACTGTAGCATGAGCTCCCTGTGGGGCTTTCTTTTGAAATGTACAAGAGCTCGCGAGGTCTCTTGTACAGGTCAAAGGTTGAGGCACACAGGGAGCACAGGGCCAGCAGGGGAGTCCCCGCTGAGCCCACACTCCCTGTGGGGCCTATGCTTTTGAACTGTAGCAAGAGCCTAGCAGGCTACAGTTCAAAGGCATATGCGCCTTTATAGACTAGTCCAACTCGTGGGGCTCTTGTACATTTCAAAAGCAGAATCACAGCAGAAGCAGTGCGAGTGGAGCCTGCTTCAGTCCCCACTCATGCCATTTCCTGCTGTCTCCCCTCCCTGCCCCCTACAGAGACGGTGCTGCGGGAACAAGAGACAGCAAGGGGAGGAAGCAACTAGTCACATCATTAGTCGACTATCTGATAAGCTTATGCTTATCGGCTAGTTGCTTACATCCCTATTTCACATCTCTGTTTTGCGAATGCAGATACAAAATTTGTATTTAGAACCCTGCAAATTTGCGGATATCCACTTTCTATCCAAGGCTATCTGCATCCATGGATGTCAATGCAGATATCCATGGCTCATATTTGTGGATACAGATGCGGATATGGATACAAATTTTGGATACAAGGGCTCTACCACTGTCCTCCCGAGTACGTCCACACTTCAGCCAAACCCCTGCTCTGCTCTGCCAAGGTATGTTTACACTGAAGCTAAACTCCTGCTCTGCCCTCCCAGATATGTCCTCATTGCAACCAAACTCCTGCTCTCCCATCATGGGTACATCCACACAGTAGCCAAAACCACACTCTGCCCTTCTGGGATATGCCCACGCTGACAGGGACGGATGAGAGTGCTGCGGGGCCCAGGGCAGCGCCGCGGGGCTCCAGGCAGCGAAATTTTGCGGGGGGCCCCCTTTGACATGGCGCATGCACCATGGCGCCATGGCGCATGTGCGGGGCCTGGGGCAGCCGCTCCACTCGCTCTGCCCTAAATCCGCCGCTGCACGCTGCAGCAAAAGCCTCGCTCTGCCCTCCTGGGTATGTCCACACTGCAGCCAAACCCTCACTCTGTCCTGCCGTGGTACATCTACACTGCAGCTAAACCCCCACTCTGACCCTCTGACCTCGTGGAGTGCAACCACATGGCAGCTAACCCCAGGGCCGGTCCTATCCAATTGGCGGCCCTGGGCGACTGCCAGGCAAAATTTGTCGTACGTGGCCCCTTTAATTGCCACATGTCCCAAGCAAGCTTCCATCGGGCTCTGTCGGTGGCCCCCTGGAAAATGGAGGCCCCGGGCAACCGCCAGGCTCACCCGCCCCTAAGACCGGATCTGGCTAAACCCCCACTTTGCCCTCTCAGGGTATGTCTGTGCTGCAACTAAACACCCTCTGCTGGTCCATGTCAGCTGACTTGGTGTGTCTACATTGCCCACATTACAGACTGTAAAAGGAGGGGAGAGCTCTCCCATTGATAGAAAAAAAAGAAACACGAATGAGATGTGGTAGCTTTATCACCAGGAGCACAGTTTAAACTGGCACTTTTCTGCTTTAAACCTTTAATTGCTCGGGAGTTGTTTTTTCACACCCATAAATTACTAAAGATTTAGCACTGAAAGTGGCAGTGTAGACCCTGGCTCAGGCTACAGAGTTACAAAATTTCAGGGTAGGGTTGCTAGGTGTCTGGTTTTGAACCAGACAGTCCAGTTTTTAATCTTTCTGTCCGGGAAACAAATTGAGAAAATACTGGACATATAAATGTCCAGTATTTTCTAATTAAATAAGTTTTATTATTATCATGAGTATCAGTACATAGTTGCGTACTGCATGAGCGTGTCTACCAGCCAGGCAGCACGCAACTACACAGTAGAGAGGAGGTGGGGCAGGGCCAGGGTGGGTTGGAATCCCCGGGGTTGGACTCGTCTGTGCACCCCGCCAGAACCATGCACGGGACAGGCAGCACCCCAGGATCTGCATGCACCCGGGGCAGCCCCACTACCTGCTGGCCAGCCCCACTCCCCCCAACTTCCTCCCAGCCAGCCCTGCTCCATGCCGGCCAGTTCCTTCGCCCGATCTTCCCTGGCCATCCCTGCTCCCCCTGATCTCCGCCCTGCTCCCCTCCCAGCCGGTCCCCACCCCCATCTGAGATCAAGTGTGTCCGGTATTTTTTTGAAATCATCTGGTAATCCTATTTCAGGGTAGATGTTCAGGCTCATGCTAGAGCCCAGACTCTGAGGCTATGTCTACACTACAAGGTTTTTGCACAAAAACTGGCAGAGCGTCCACACCTCAAGCGCGTTTTTGCACACACAAAAATTACAGTAAATCAACAGCATAGAGGGCTTTTGCCGGTAGAGTTATTCCTCTCCCCACGAGGAAAAACCCCTTTTTGCTCTACAGCTCTTGCACAAAAAGGCATATGTGGATGCTCCGCAGGGGTTTCTTACGCAAAGAAGAGCCTATCAGAAAAAGCACAGGTGCTCTGATGGCCATTCTGTTAATGGCAATCAGAGCTTTCTTGAGCAAGAGCATCCATGCAGTGCGGACACTCTCTTGTGCAAAATCACATGGCTTTTGCAATGCCCTTTGAGGTGTGGACGCATTTTTGTGCAAGAAGCTTTTGTGGAAGATCTCTTCCACTAAAAGCTTCTTGCACAAAAACCTTGTAGTGTAGACAAAGCCTGAGAGTCCCAGGACTGAGGCTCCAGCCCGAATACCTAAGCTGTGGTTTTAGAGCCCAAGATACATGGGCCAGGCCCCGGAGTTTGATTGCACTGTAGCCATATCCCAACAGTCCATACCAGGACCCAGATGGGAAAAGGGAGCCATGCACCAGTGGTGAATCACTCTCTTCGAATGCTGAACAAGGAGATTAGTTTATTCATATTAGAATAAAGAGAACAGTTCTTATCTCACTACTGCCTCTAATGAGAAGTGCCCCAGCCTAAGCTTTGGTTTTGTGGTGTGTAGTCGAAAGTAAGATTGTTTAATTCCCTCAATGATAAAGGGCTGAGAGGCTTTCTTAGTTTCCATATGGAAGTCTGTGCATCTGCCCATGCAATATCGTATATTTCAGTGCATTGTATCCTAGAGACTCCCATGAACCTTGCAAATTACAAAACCCTGCTATTTCTCATGTTGCTATTCTGCAAAGTAGTTTCACTTATCTCAGGAAATGTTACTGTCTCACTTATTTTAGGCCATGTCAAACAGCAGATTGTGGCAGGAAGGATTTCTATTATATAAGTACATACAACAATAAAAAGTCAGGAATTGCAACAGCTAAATCTTCCAGCAGCAAAATTTCATTAGCCTTTGAAAAGCTTTGCATATATTGTGCTTTATAACATTTTATAACAGAAATAGTAATATTAAAGCTACACATTTAACCAGAAAAAACAGGAATAGAAAATATATAAATGTGGGTTTTTTTTCTGTTGGAGCCTTAAAGTTTGCATTGCCTGCATTTTGTGATTAACTATGCAATGTACCATTAACTTTGGCATTTAGGCCACAT